ACTAAACAAAACTAGACTAATAATACAAAACACTAAGTAGTGATTTAAAAAAATAATAATAATAATCGAAATAAAAGAAATAAAAAAAAGCATGAATAGTAATATATCCCATCATTAGCAATAATAAAGGTAGAAGAAACCATTGTTAAAAAGTAATAACAATAATAATGCGTTAAGACATTAAGAGTTACAAATCTTGGAGGTGTTTCTGTCTTAAGTCGAGGGCAGTTTAAATGAATTGTCCAAGTGTGATATGTAATGAGGTTAAATTATAACTCATTGTCAGTGCAAATTTTTCATCAATTGTAGAATTATCAAAATTATTAATTTGTTTCTTACATTTTTCAAATATTAATTTTCTTTGGTCACTGTAAAATGGACAAGTTATGGTGAAATGATGTTGTTCGTCTTCTATTTGTTTTTTTGTGCAAAGTTCACATACTCTTTCTTTTACATGTGTTTTTGGTTTGGAATGTCGTCCTGTTTCTATTTTTAAGTTGTGGTTGCTTAGTCGAAATTTACATAATGTTTGTCTTAGTTCAACATTTTTCAGTGATATCAAATAGTTTTCTAATTCGAATTCATTTTTAAATGTTCTGTATGTTCTCAATTTATTACCATCTCGATCATTATTCAATTCTTCTTTCCAGTACTGTTTAAACTATTTTTTCAATTTTATTTGTAAATTGTTTTTTTTTTCAGCAGTTGTTGTTATTCTGTCCAAATTAATTGTGCCACTTTCATTGATGTTGTTCAATTGTGTCGTTATTGCGTTATACCATTTACTGTTCATTTGCTTGTTTAGTATTGCTGCTTCTTTAATTAGTACGTTAGGCGAATTTATTGCGCGGTTGTAGTATTTGATCATTTGTTTTTTTTTATAAATAGATGTAGTAAATATTCACCCAACTCTCCGTATATTGCCATTATGGGAGTGTTTCTCTTGATACTAATAAATCTGCAGAAATGTAAATGGATATCTTCAACTTCCGATTTATAAGAACTCTCATAGCCCCATATATCACTGCCATATGTCAGAATAGGTCTTACGATCCTATAGAATAAAGACATCAATGTTTTTATGTTTATACTAGGATGTTGTCCTAGTTTCCTAATTAAAGAGAACATGACCGTTTGACCTTTACGTTTTAAGTTTTTTATGACTTCTTTGAATTTTCCATTTGGGCTTAAAGTGATACCAAGATAATTGATTTTTTTAACAATATCAATTTCTTTGCTTTCATAGAAAAATATGTTATCTTCTAATAGTCTGTTCGATTTGTTGAAAACCATAATTTTAGTTTTTTTCTGTGTTGACTGATAGTTTCCATTGTTTTGTGTAGGTGGATAAGGTATCTAAACAATTTTGTAAGCCGGTCTTATTTTCTGATAAAATCAACAGTTTGAACAGAGATCAACACAAAATGTCGAAATTGACGATAGTATTGACCGGCCGTACTTACCTACGTCACAATTCTTGACACATTTTGCATTCCTTGTACTGGTGCATTCTCTAATGGTCCGTTGGTGTGGGCTACACATCGTACAAGGTAAGCATATCCTTGTAGCGCTCCACGTACCGGAATAGGTGCCTTCTGGGCAACGTTCACACACGGTGTCACGTGACCCCTGACACTCGACACTGACCCCTGATCCCGGTGGACACTTACTGCATTTCTGGCACATCTGGTTACCATATGGATCGTGAGAGAGATATTTAGGACTGTGACCACCGTCACAAGTCAGTGCTTCCTGTAAGATAAATCACATAAAGTAAAACAGTATTATGTCGAATAATACACTTGTAAGCAATAACCAACAATATATCACAAGATATTGCACAATTCACGACGTATATGCATATATATATATATATATATATATATATATATATATATATATATATATATATATATATATATATATATCATTGATATAAACATTACTTCTAGCAACATGGAATTTTTAAGACCATGAATATTTCACCTCACCTACAGAAAATGCAATAAAAATAACACAATTTAACCCAAAATTACGAACATTTTAAAAATCACTATATAACTACGTTTTACCATCTCTGTTATTGGAACAACTCGGGGATAATATTATCTCACTTGTTGCTGGGACCACTCAGGGACAATATTATCACGCTTTTTGTTGTTGGGACAATACTAGTATTCTATGTAATCATTATAAACAACACCGTACGCACCACCACATCGTACAAGTTGTCGGCAGCGATGCTCATGCTCGCTCGAGCTAATTAACCAGTCAAGACGGCAGCCCATTATACAGGTATCATTTTACTTCATTTTCCTAGCATAACAAAAAATTAAATTAAATTTTCGAAAGCTTCTGATTTAGTATAAATAATTGGTATTCATACTCTGGAGCGTAACGTTGACATCATAAGCCAAGGATAAACGGTGCATTATGTCTCCATTTAACCATGGCTTGCATAAATTATATAGGATATCATCCAATCACAATAATGTAATCGTAGCACAGGTACAATATATTACGATACACGATGAGCAGAGTCTGACATGTTCCAGTGTTGAACGCATATACTGTACAAGGTAATGTTCAGAGTCGTATGCTCGGCTTATTGTGTGTTGACGTTTATTGAAACGTTTGAGTAATAACAAAATGTTATACGAGTAAGTTGTAAAACAAATTAATAACTCCAGAGGATAACTAAAGTGCAAAACACTGTTTGAAATTACAACATTGGGACAAAACAGTATCGGGTTCCAGACTCTTCAGAAACGCAAACCGATCCACCATCCACCCCTGTACTCTCCTGTTGCTTGGGACTCAATTCTTGCGCGTGCGCAGGTGACGACCATCCCACTTTAAACGAACAGGTTTGTTAATTGAAATTATAGTAAACTGCATAGTCCTGTAGAAGGACTGTGCGTAGCGTCAAATTGCTATAAGATTGAATTTCTCGTTTTGTAAATACAAAACAATAAATTTAAACATATAATTACCCGGGCACAAGACTCTGAATACGACACACCATAAAAAATAATACATGTACTCTATCTGTGGATAAAGTTTGTTACTTTTAAGGTTTATTTTCCACCCATAGACAGCATGGAAAAGTTGTTAGGATATAACGTTAGATGTGAAGCAGTTGAATGCTTATCCGTACACGATGAGATTAGATTGTGAAGAAGTTACAAATTACGCGTGTAGAAACAATTTTATGAGCGTACGTAATTTAAAGCGGGGGAGTCGTCACCTGCGCATGCATCAGATGGCCATAGCGTGTCTTTGTTTACAAACAAGCTTCTACCCACGAGCCTTTGCGTTTTTAGCGTGTGTTGTTATCGTCGGTTTGAACTCAATTCCCGCGCGTGCGCAAATGACGACCCTCCCGCTTTAAAATATTTTGGTTTTTGAACTTGTATTCTTGAACTTGTGCGCACGTTGAGAATCTATTGCAAGCCATATATATGGATTTTTTATTTGTTTTGACTATAATCATGTGCGGAATTTAATGTCTTTTTCCCCAATGTATGAGAAACTTTTGTTTTGAGTGGCGTAATCAATAGAATTGAAATTAGTTTCACAGTGCATGGGTTGAGTGCAACATGACTGTTAAGCGGAAAAGGAAGTCGGATATAATTCCTAAGAAAATAGTTAGACTCTAGTGGCCTTGCCCTTCGTTGGTTTTCTTTAAAAGTGATTTCGTTACTCTGACAAGGTTCCCTATTTCATTAGGAACAAACCCCAAATCACGAATTAACTTGGAAACATACGATGCAATCACTCAAAGAGCAATATGTAAGAACTCTGAATAATGGTTTAAACAACGAATAGAAACTACTGTGATGAATTTGTTTTTGCGTATCTGTTCATCGACTTATTTAGTTGATTACTAGTACTAGCGAATTGCTGTGTTATGTCTGTCACCGTTTAGGCCATGTGAAGTTTTGGACGGAACTTGGCTCAGTGATTTGGAACTAATTACGAGATAACCGTCGCTATTCGGACTACTATTTCTGACAGTTAGTATTCGTAGTTATTAATGTAGTGAACGATTAATCAAAAGATATGACGTTTCCAGTACTTAGTGTGATTGGCTTTATGATTGAAGGTTACGCCTTAGAGTCTTTTTACTGTATTGCAATTGGTTAATGTTTTGAAAATGAATAAAGAGAGTTTGACTTGGTCTTGGCGAGTACACCAGAACTGACGCAGTGCAGTCCTGGAGAGTCTTGGGCGAGTCTTGGGTCAGCCTTGCGATAGTCTTGGGGATTTTTCCCCAGGGCGCTGTGTCTTATAGAGTGCTCAAATGACCGACTAAGACGAGAGTTGAAACGTATTTCGTTGTGTGTGTCTTGTTTGACTGTAAAGCTTAAGTGACTTTCCCGATCCCGTACCTCAAGGGGACGCGATAGAGAGACGATACGAGATTCCCCCCTGACACGTGTGGAGAACCCCATAGGAGAAGAATTTTACCCCTGATACTACCATGCAATGAAATTACCAAAGCAAACGTTAGTCAGTTTAATATTACTATGAATTCCAGAATAATCCATGTCAACTTTTAAACATACATTAAAATGCTAACTATCTAGATAGTTAACAAAAACATGTTCGAGGGAGCTTTTCTACTTTTCACATGATATTACTGCAACTGATTTGGGCTAAGGATATTGCCGGATACACATTCACGAATACAAACCCAGTGCCCCGTCAATTACACATACACAGTAAAAAAAAACAGATTTGGGGCACACCGCTGAAGTTAACAGCATATTCATATTCAAATGTTGAAGTTAGAAGCATATTCATATTCAAATGTTGAAGTTAGCAACATATTCATATTCAAATGTTGAAGTTAGCAACATATTTACATTCAAATTGGTGTGAATGTATCTCATGGGCAGATGCGCATAATGTAAAAAGAAACGTAACTGTAACGGTATAGATGTTAACCTGTGTTGTAAATTCAACCTGGTATTTAGCACACAATTTTCATAACATGATATCTCATGATATGTTCACAAAATCCAACTTTATACTCATTGATGATATAACCAAATATGATATTGTTTAGATACAAATTAATGTCCTTCGTAATAATTGTGCGGGCAAGGCAAACCGATCGCGACGGAATATTTTTACTTTTGTTTGTATATTTATATTTTCCTTTTTTGTTATGTTTTAATTTCTTTCTGTGTTTGTTTATTGTTTCAAATTTTCTTGACAATTACTAAAATAGTTATATTTCATCGTCACTATGTTTTCCTGTAGGACTTTATTCAATTCCTCTTTATTCTGTACTTATAACGTTCCCTATGGTTGATTATTAGAGACTCTGTGAGGGGCTGAAAAAAATATGAACATTATTGTTCCCCCCCCCCCCCCACTTATTTTGAGCTATTTTTATCAGGATGATGATTATTATGCTGGTTTTGCTTCCTCTATCAAATGTGCGTATTTTTATCAACATATTAACTTCCTGTGCTTAATTCTAGATTGTTTTGATCCACTAAATCCAAATATATCGTCCTAACTTAAACTGACATCCGTTTAGTTGGTATGTGACAGGCACAAATAATGAATATTTTCATAATCAAAATATAATTGAGTCTTAGTAAGCAAAAAAACGGGTCAGATTTAGTTTGGAATAGCTGTTTCATAGTCCGTACTAAGCGTTCGCTCCTGTTTTCTCAGTACGGGCTAACGTGTTCGACCTCTTTGCCCGTGCTAAAGAGCTGGGCGTGAAAGTATAATGGCGGTTACACTTGGTAACCGTGGTAGGATGTAACATATATTTTTATATTGCGAGCACATTTAATATGTTTTACCTCCTTCCTACACGAGCTAACAGTGCAGTGGTTTTGGGACAAATTGCATAGATTTGCAATACCCTTTTTTCTAGTAGTTGTTATATGTTTTTACTTCGCTCACAGCAAAGCACGTATTGCCGAATAAGGAAGAGATACATACCGGAAAAACGTGTGTTGTAGTAATTTCAACGGACGTGTGAGTTCTGTGACAGGATTACGTAAGATATATTAAAATGTATAAACAGACAAATGGTGAAACATGTTCGACTCTAATTTTAAATTTGTTTCACCGATACTAATACCGAGACTAAGGCTTGGGAATTCCCAAACTTACGTAGCGTCTGGCAAGTATTTACTACAGGTTAAAGGTTGGCCCCTTTTTACGTCTATTGTTAGCGACGTGACTCTCGGCATACAGTTTGAACAATAGTTGATCAATAGTAAACTTTGCTACAGGTCATAGAAAACTTATCAGAAAAAATATATATATAATAAATCTAATCTTGTATATAGTATTGTTCGGTAGGATTGGCGAACTGCGATTCGGGTGAAAAGTTCGCGTGTACAGTTTGTTTTAGAAGGTGGATTTGCGGGGTGACGACAAATGTCAAACGACCGGCCGTCGGTATTTCCATTTTAGGAATCGTTATATTTAGAAAACCGAGAATCAGGCTGTAATTAAAAAGAAATTCTAATTTGAAAATAATTTTAGTACTTTGTTTTATTGTGAGAGTGCCCAAACACCCGGCCGACCGCGATTTGGAATTTCGTGTTATTAACCAAACAATACATTTTACTCGCGCGTAGTCCCATGGGACAAGACCAACGAGAATCAATTATAAGTTATATTAAGTTAAATACTTTATTTAATGACAATTTTTAAATGATTTTATTAAATTAGAAATGTTGAAGTGAATTCAAAATAATTCGTGTTTTGTGTCCCATTCACATTGTCGGTAAATAGCCTGTAGCCAATCACTCTGTATTATAACGTGTTGTTATAATACACAATCACCAACATGACATACCGTGTACTCGCGGTTGTCAAAAACATTTCAACTAATAAGTGCCACAAGACGTTGGCTACGCAGTGGCGGCGGCACAGGGGGGGGGGATCGCGCGCCCCGAGAATTGTTGGGGGCGTCACCCCCCTAAAATTAAGCTGAAATCCTTTGTGGCGGCAAAATTTTGCCCTCAAAATGCAGGAAATAGCGTTTCAGAGGGTCTAGATTTCAAATTTATTAAGGGGGAGCATGTCCCCGTACCCCCTAGGAGGGGTGATCAGATCTTGCCCCTACATGCACAATTTCGTGCCACCGCCTCTGCTACGAGTGTTTGTATTTGTATTTGTATTGACGACGCCTCTAATATTTTGAGATCTTAACATTCCATTGAATATTTTAGGTTACCACCCAGCGACCAACCCTAGTTGTCCCCAACAAAATGAATCATATATAGAGTACGGGTCCACGAACACGTAGATTCATGTCGGGTGGGAGGCGGGTTCGTGCCGTGAAGTTACTTACGTATACTAGAAATGTATACCGTCTGCTGGTTCAGACTTGCCTGGATACGTGCCAAATCTGTCACCAGGCTTGTCCCAGGCTAGTTCGACGAACTTTTTTTCTTCTCATAATACTGGCAAAAGTTACCATCGATTGACGTAAACGAAGATGAACTTACCACGTGTGCACCTAGAGTCAATGTCAAGCAGACTACAGCGTTTGTTATGATTACTAGTGGACACGCCATGTCGGTGTTGCCGTGTCGATTCCAAGAATTATACTGGCGTAGTTACTACTCAGGACAACACTCGAATCAATAAAAAACACACGTGACTCGAATGGAAAAACCCATACCCAACCGGAAATAGCTAAATTGGTTAATGATTTTTTTATTTTTTATTATTTTTAGCTCGATGTCAAATCTTTCTTTAGTTCACGGTTATTGGTGACTTAGTTTGTATGTGACTTTATCCCCACTCATGCCCCTACACGTAACGAGTCAGAGTTTCCTTCGAAAATGTAACGAACTTCATTGCAAAGAATTCTAACACAACACAAAGAGCATGTATTGTGACTTACTATAAGGCCAGAAAAAAAACTTACGTTGCCTCAAGTCGGCCCGAATCGGTCGGATTTTTTTAAACTTAATTTAAAGTTTAATAGTTGATCCAGCTTTTGCTGTCATGCACACAGCAAACGTGTTCGCCATGTTCGCTACCGCTGTACGTACTAACGTACGGCACACGATGACAAACCCGGAAGTGAGAATACTGACAGCGCTAAAACAACGTGCAAAAGCCGTCGTTTTGTTTGTGATGTAAGCCGGATGAGACAGTGGCGGATCCAGCAAAATGTATTGGGGGGGTCCAAGCTACGCTTAAGATATACGGAGCGTAAATCGCAGAGAATCTATGCATAATCCAGATCATATGAATCGTCATGCGTTTGGGGGGCGCATGCCCCTCCCCCCTCTGGATCCGCCACTGGGATGAGAGTTTTAATATTATATGTCACGTTTTGTAAATTCAATAACATTTTGTGCATTTCATGTATTAAAAATTATATTTACGTATTGTTTTTGATTCAAAATAATGTTTTTATTTAATTAAGAAAATACTGGGTGCGGCGATATTTTTAATATTGTGCACAAACTGTCCTTCGAATCGCAAATGTCAAAATGGCCTGAAATGCAAAAAACGTGTTTGCTCTTCAGACTTCATAGTATTCGGAACATGTCAGAGAAATACAGATCAACCCGAGGTTCAAAGTCGCCACTTAACCCCAGGGGACCCTGGGGATAAAACAACGGTCCGGGAAACACTTTTTACTGCCTAAAATGGTGAG